CGGCACTCCTGACTGAGCGGCTCTTGCGGCAGCCCCTCTCAGCGTGGCCCTCTCAGTCGCCACTTCATCTCCACCCGACGCTCGCCTCGTCCCCTAGCCCGCCGTCTCCAGGGCGACTCTCCATTCGGCCGCCGTCGGCCGGCGCCGCGAGCGCTCGCTTCCGCGAACGGCGCGTCGCATGCGGGCGATCCCGGCGCGCGGCGGCGCGGGAGGAAAGCTTCTCCACGGCGCTGTCGGCGCCGCCGAGCCGGTTGTTGGATCACGTGAGTGGCCGTGGCCGGCTCCGGCCGGCCGGGCGAGCCGCGGGGCCCCGGCGGGCTGGTCAACACACCACGGGTCGCTGCAAGGCCAGCGAGGGCGGCACGGATGCGGCCGGCGCTCGGGCCGCGCAGCGGCAGTGCAGCAGCCCGGTTCAGGTCTGGTGAGGTCACACTGCAGGACGGTGACGTCATCAAAGACGCATCATCCCGGCGTCCAGTACCGAGGGACGAGTGTGACCCCCGAGACCCTGCGGCGCTCAGCCGTGCAGACGAACCGAACCTCGCTGCTGCGACCCGGTAGGCCGGCCACCGGACAGCAGTGACGTCACAAAGGACGCTGGTCCACCGCCAAGGACACATTGCCACTGCCGTCTGCCAAGGCGATGATTTCACGGCGAACAAAAATCGTGTGCCGGTGCAGCGGCTGGGGAACGGGGCGGACAGGGCGCCCGGCGCTGGACACCGGCTCCGTCCCGGCGCACACACCTGTTTGGAGCACAGAACACTCTCGGCAGGGCAGACTGACCTACCGGTGCATCACCCACGACTCACGGCCGGGTCGCGGCAGCTACCAGCTGGTACACACATCACTGGTGATGGTTTCGTGTCAGGGCGCGGGTAAAAAGGCCCGGTGGCCTTGTGACGCAGTTGGTCAGCCGGCCGGCCGGGCAGCGGCAGCGGGCGGCGGTGGGCGGCGGGCTCCGTCGGTCGGGGTCGCCGCTGCCGGCTGAAGTGCGCCGGCCACCGCTCGGCCGTGCGTCATAGCCGGATAATACAGGCAGATTTGTATCCGGTCGTTCGCGGAATCCGACTGAATGTACGGTGGAACATCGGCGCGGATAAAAATCACCGCCATCGCTGACTCGTTGTGGACTCCCGGGCGACAGAGGCGGTCTATCGCTGCTCACCAAATGCGGGACAGAGGCAGCCCGCCCGCTGCCAGGCGGCAGGTTCATGCAGCAGCGCCGCGATCACCCCAGCGTCTTACCGGCGCGCCCGGCCCGTGAAATGGGTCCAGCCCATAAAACACCCCTCACACACACATAAAAGCGGATTCTCAATCAGCAAAGCCGCTAACTTCAAAGTCAGCCGGCAACCTTATATCTTTTACGACCAGTTTCACTTAAAACAATGAGGCAAAACTCTATCTACCATCTAAGCAGACCTTGATCAATGCCATAGACGCAATAAATGATAAATTGATGATCGGAATCTGGGTATAATTAAGCTATGCGTCACGCGACATTCGGAAAATGAGCCAGGCAGCAGCCGCCAGGGGTTTCTTGAACCTGTGTTTGGGTTTAGTTATTACCAGCGATTAATCAAAGGGAGAAAAATGTTAAGAACAACGACAGCCAAAGTACATACATGTGTTTGCAAATAGCGTGACAAAAATAACTGATCGTTCGCAGCAAACGCCTGCTTTTCTCTTAAGACTTAAGAGTAAGTATGATATATGGCTTCAGTATGGGTGATTCCTGTCCTAACATATAACAATGCCAAAGGTCATCTCTGCATCATTGGAGCACCCTGGAAACTGCACTCATACGAGGAAAAAAGAAAGCGGCAGGCCGGATCAGGTGGCCATTAGTGAGTCTCTGCCGGCATCTTTCGGGATCCGGCAGCACATATCGGACGGCTCATCAGTCAGCACGGGGGAGGACGGAGCTGGACAGTGCAGGACCGTGCCGGCCGTGTCATGGTGCATAATGTATACGCCGTGCTGTGCCTGAAACCGTGCCTAGGACACGCTGTACCAGCAGCGCCGTGCCGGTCACCGAGACGAGCCGTGCCCGTGCCGTGCTGAGCCCGGTGCAGCGCGGTGCCCGGGGCCGTGCCGGTCGCCGCGCTGCGGACCGGCCAGGGGTCGCCGGCCACGGTCAGCCAGCGTCGTCGGTCGCGGCGTCAAGGTCAGCGGGTGGGCGGCCAGCTGGCCCGGCCCGGTCGGTCGACCGGCGCCCACCGAGTCAGCAGCGCCTCCGCGACCCGGCGCGGTGACCTCAGCGGCCCGGGGCGCCGGGGCGGTGCCGTGTCTCACGGTGCCGCAGAGCTGAGTTGAGTTGAGTCAGTCCCTCCGCAGCCACGTGGCCATGCGGCGGGCGGAGCAGCGACTGGACTCGGTCCACAGGCGGGCGGACCGAGCCCGACCAGCCGGTCGTTGACGACCTCTGGCGGCGGCGCCGGGCAGAGCCGCGTCTGCTCGCGCGCGCCCACCGCCGCCCAGAGCCCCTCGCACATCACTCGCGGCGCGTCACGCCAGATCAGCCCGGGTCGACGGGCCAAATTGGAGGTGTTGGAGCTCAGCCCGGACGGCTGATAAATGATGATGGAAACGGCGGCCATAGATACGACACAGCCATTGTTCAGCATCGACACAACAGTCCAGCCATATCAAAACACACCATGGGAATGCGAGTGAAAACAAATTGATACAGATTGACCCGGCGTGACCGAATGCACGGCTGAGCAGCGCGGCCCAGCAAGGACCAGCAGAGCACTCCGTATCTCGGGCACAGCTGCGACGGTGTCCCATCACGTGCTCTACACGCCGCCGGCACGTGACACAAAGAGGCCGGGCGCCGGTCGACGGCCAGATGAACTGAGTCGCACGCCGAGCCGCGGGGACGAGGCTCCCTGAGGAGCCTGTCGTTCAGTTTGTTTGAGTAGGAGCCATCGCCACGGCTGAGCTGAGCTCCGTCCTAGCCCTGGCAGAGGGAAGTACCAGATAAAAGATATCGGTGCAAATGCATGGCATACAACAATCATTCAAATGTTATCCGACTTCCTCGCCTTTCGCGCAACTACTAAAAGCAATACGTGGAGCGTTTATGAGAGGGCGAGCACATCGAGCAAAACGTAGATAAAGTAACCACAAACAACAAATAACGCCATATCCACTAGCCAATGGATGGGAAATGCCCATCACTGGTGCCTTGACCCCGGACTGGAGAGCCACAAACTCCCATGGCCATGGCCAGCGCGGAGCGCACCTGCCGGTCCGGCGAGCTGTGCCACAGCCGCCGCCTGGGCAGATCTCAGAGTTGGCACATCAGACCACCGCTGGATTGGATGTAATCAGACGGTCAACTCACCACTGGATCGAAAATTGCTTTGCAGGCAAACCATTGGCAAACATATTGGGCTGAACGAGACTGACAACTGCTTGTTGGGACCCTGTGCTAAAGAAGAATATTCACTGCTGAATGGGTTCTGTCGGGCAAAGCATGAATTATCAATAGATTGAAAGTCGTCTGACACTTCAATATTCACCGGTCATCCACCAACGGAAAGATTCCATTTGGTACATAGCCCATAGCCAACCACCAAACCGGATCGAAGCTCAGATCGAATCGACCTGCGCCGCCAGAGCGGGCCCCGTGTCGCGGCGGCGGACAGTCCGTCCGTCCGCCGGGGCCGGGGCCGGGAGCTACATATGCAGATGTGTCCGGGGAACAGGCGTAGCTGCCATGTTCGCCGGCGCCCGGGCGGAGGAACGTGGCGTCCACCGCGTCTCCACCGCCGACCGCGGGCCGCCGCCGTGTCCAGATGACAGCTCCGGCCGGCCTACTTCAGAGACGACAGCGCGAGCGGCTCCGCGGAACTTGTTCGATTGGAGACCGACGTATGATCCACTCAGCCCGACTGTCAAATCACGAGTTACCATGTAATTCTATATTAATTTGCTTCATTGCTGAATATCAGTTCAGGATCGATCGACTAACCTCCATTCAGTCCAGTGTAGCAGCCTGTCCCGGCGTCCCGATCACCCGTGACCTGGTCCACCGAGCGGAGTTGGGCCCACCGAGTACCCTGTGACCCGGCGAAGACTCGGCGTTATCGCCCGGCGCAGGGCATTCCGCGGCCACCAGCCGGCCGCATCGCCCACCAGCGCTCACACGGCACATGCCGCAGCACGGCTGCCCTGGCGCCACAAAAACTCGCCGGCAATGGCGCCGACACATGCCACGCCACGGTCATCCAGCGTGACTCGGACGTTCACACTGACATGTGACACACCATATCGATCATCCCGGCGTGGTACCGACTATCACAATGACCTATGCAGCATCACAGCCGCTCTGACGTCAGAACGACCGGGCGAACTCGTGCTCATTGGCACAAACTGATGCCGAAACGCGTCCAAATGTCAACATGACGTCAGAACTCAGAACCACCACAGCACAAACCTAAACCTTTATAGGTACACTCGGGGGCAGAATGATGTTCCACCACTCCCTACCTATCGGGCTCCCATGGCCCAGCACTGGCTGCTGCCAGTGGCAGCACTGGCAGCACTGGCACTGGCAGGCAGTGCTGACCAGTGCTGAGGACAGGCAACACTCGCAGCAGCCAGTGCTGGGCCATGGGAGCCCGATGGGTAGGGAGTGGTGGAATATCAATCTGCCCTCGAGTGTACGAGACACCATACCCAATAAATAAGGATATCCTCATCTTTCATCCGAGAGAACATGGCTAGCAATAGCTGGCACAGGGATATTCTCGCTCGTATAGCCAGACACAGTCGCTAAATGATGTCTTGGTTAATTCTGAGTCCGCACATGACACAATAGGTACTGAAATCCATAGGTGAACACCCCAACATAGGGCGTTACGGTGCATGCTACGGCACTTGGTTGGGTAGGTGTCCCGTGTCTATCTGGACGGCTGGTGTCTATGTAGCTGCCTGGCCAGCACGGCCCGTCGGACGGCCTGCCTGGAGAGCAGAGCCGGCCCACATACCTTCGGCGGTGGCCGAGGAGCCTGCTCCGCCCGCGGCTCGAGCAGCCGACCGACCGTGAGGACCGGCCGGCCGTGGCGGGCTCGGCGCTGCTCCCAGAGACGGCGGCCAAACAGCGGCAGAGGAGAGGCGCTGGGAGATAGCACAGCCAGATGAGCAGGTTGTCTTCGAGGTTGGACACGTCACCTCAGCTTCAAACTCAGCACACCTTCAGTTGACCGTCACACAGACCTCTGGTCGTAACGCTCACACCACGTGCCTTGTAACCAGATCCACAGCGGCTCACTGATGACAACACCTCCGCTCTCGCGCTCGTCACTCGTCGGCACCCTCCGAGGCTGTCACCGCGCGGCGCCGAGCCACAACAAACACCCTCGCCTCGCCGGCGGAGGAGGCCGCACTGCCGGCTCTCGGCGGCCGCCCACCGACGCCCTCCCAGCCGGCCAGCTGGCCGAGCACGGACCGCCGGCGGCGGCGGCAGGCGCGCAGCCGACCCGCGGAGCCGCCGCGCGCACCGGCCGGCCAGACCTGCGTGCAGTGTCCCAAAATTGAGTTTTGTCTGGGGTGTCAGAGGGGAAAATTACCCACCAAAAAGAGGGGAGAGAGTGGAAAACTGCTGATTTGATTAGATCCAAAAAGAGTGAGAAACGCCATAAAACATGGATTTTATTCTAGGATGTATGTAGAATGTTTGATGCTAAACCGGGCATTCACACAACCGCTCTTTCTAGAGGTAAAAAAAATCTAGGTTTTCTTGGTTGGGAGTGGAAAATTGTTCTTAAAAATTGGTGGTGAGTGGAAAATGAATTTCCTTTGGATGTCATTTCCCACCCAAATCGACAAATTTTGGGACATTGAATTGCCTGCGTGCCAGCCCAGCGGCCGGAGCGGACGCTGTTCTTCGTCACAAGTGAGGCGTGTGGCCCGCCTGGTTGTCGCACAGCTCTACCCGACCCAAGTTAGTGACGTTGGTGGACGCTGGAATGCCGGGTAGCCGCTGGCCACGGCGTTGGTATCTGTATTCTGTATGCAGGCCGCCGCCGCCGCCGCTGCACAGGTTGTAAATTGATGGTGGATCGGCCCTGCATCTCCGCCGTTCGGGTCAAACCGTCCGATCGTTCACATACGGAAAGGATACAGCGGACAGAAACAACTGGGCAGGTGGAGGCCTCAGCAATGTTCTGCTAAGATGCTGTGGCCATGATTGGTAAACAGCGGGCCTTCGAATATCTGCATTGGTGAAGGGAGCTAAAAAACTAAATTGTTATTTTATGTAATGCATGGAATATTTTCCCTACCGTTCACCTGAGCATTCCACATTGCATTTCAAGGTAGTGATATTTCAAAGATATCCACCACAACAGTACTGCAACGGCGACTCGGACGACCACTGATCTAGCGTGGTCAAGTGGTCAGTGCTCATTCAAAGCTGAGCGTTCTTATTCATTACCAGCCAGTCTAACCGACAGAACATTGACCGGTCATACCTATTAGGCGCCTTTCCCGCCCAGAGGCCGTTCTCTGCATCCGAACATTCCTCGCTGGTCCGCGGTGCTCCATCCGAGCATTACACGGCCCTCGGACGGCTCGCGTGTCGACCGGCAGCGCACCAATCTCGGCGGCATCAGTAGCGCTCAACGGAGGCGTTAGGTACGTGGTGCTCAGCACGAGGAGAGCGGGTCCTCTCCGGGAGCAAAGGGAATTGTGCCGCGTCTGCATCTTGGTGCAGCTGAAGTGGTTGCTACTTAGGAGCAAGGGCAGGAATTACTAGGCCAGCTCGCCAGACATTTTCAAGAAAGGGCGGCGCCATGAAACTAGCATGACTATTGTGATAAACAAGCGTGGCAAACCCAACGCAGGTGACAACACCAGCGACGCCGCACGACCTCGCTGTCAAACGATTCAATGATGCATTTCGTCAAACGGAACCCCGCAATCACGCTGAGAGATCGGAGGTCAGCGCGGCGTCGCGACACGACGCGTCCAGCGTTCATGGCTGCTCCAGAGCAGCGGTGATGAGACGGAAACGGCAGGAATGCCGCCGCGGCCGCCACCGCCGATCGGCGTGTCGATTTCTCCGCAGTACTCCCCTGATACATTTGCATATCGAGCGCACATCGTGTGCACTGGCCATGTAGCGGCGTTGTCCGTGCTCAAGGATAACAATAACAAGGCCGGGCAGTCGCGCATAAAAAACTGACGGCCAAAATATCCCGAATACAAATCACTTGGCGCGACAGCCGAGTGACACGGCTATCAGTTGGGGCGGCGGTGACGTCCGGACGTGTCATGCAGAGGTCGGCCGCGCGCCGCCAGATACATCTGCACACCGCGAGAGCAGCTGCCGTTATTCGGCGAGATGAGGTCGCGCACGGAGCGCTCACCGACGCACAGCTCGCGTGCGGCGCTCGGCACCCGCAGGCCGTATAAATTGAGTCGTCACGCGGCGCGGTGCGGCGCGCTCGGACGGATCCAACAGGTCGGCGCGCCTTACACGGCAGGCTCCGCGCCGACAGAGAGCATCTCCGGCCAGACAGGAGATCAGAGGACCGACCAGGTCCATCAGCACCTCTGTGGCACCCGTTACCGGGCAACCGGCGAGGCGGACGACTGCTGCTGCTCCATCTTATTATGGCTCCTGTGAGATCATATTCATGTTGCCAATTGGACGAAGGGGCAGCGTTATTGCAGCTTCCGCCTCACAGCTAGAATATGCCAAACGGACAAGAGCGGCAAATACCGCCAGATGAGCAGACAGAGGGCGATAAATGATAATACCAAGTGGAGCGTGACTCAGCAAACAATTCAGCGACCGGCAGCGCCCCGCTGGAACATTTGGGTTCGTGTATTGGTCAATATGTTAGGTTGGGACTTGGGAATTCCCATCAGTGTCCAAAAAGTATATTTTTGCTTGGGTATCAGAGGGGATAACTGCTAACCAAAAGGGGATGAGCGTGAAAAATTGTTAGTCAGGTAAGGCCCAAAAGGAGTGGGAAAGGATCAAAACAATTTATGATTTATCAACAATTGTGGCAGACAGAAGGATGCAAACCAACCATCCACGCTATTGCTCTTTCTCAGTGGAATTGGGAGTGGAAAATTGGTCTTGAAAATTGGAAGAGAGAATGGAAAATGATTTTCATTTGGATGCCGTTTCCCACCCAAATCGCCCAATTTTCGGACACTGATTCTCATACAAGTTCAAGTCGATTCAAATCGGTTCCCGAATCGGCATGCTATTTCGGCATCGACTCCAGAAAAAGGTATCGGTGTTTTCAGCCCAGTCCACGGGCAGAACGCACGTTCTCCAGCGGCTCCACCCCCAGACAGAGTGTACCAGATCTGAGGCTGATCAATTGATCAATTCATGCCACAAGTTACTGATCAATCCAAAAATTAAAACAGTAACAACATGCTAACGCGGAAAAACGACGGTGATCCGTGCCATCGGGGTACGGGAGACCCAGCATCAGTTCGTTCAAAAACAGATACGACCAATACATGAACAGACAGTGAGAGAGGCAGCATCCCATGAGCCCGGCTCCCTTGCCTCTTATCCTATATTCTAGGTAAGAACATTCAAGGTAAGAACCCAGAGGCAGAAACACTGACCGTCATCATCCTGGCAACCGAGAACATTTACATTGGAAATGAAAATTAAAGCAAGGAATGCAACCAACTCATGAATTGACTTCTCATACCAAAAACTGAGCTCAGAGCATGGTTATTCAATTGGCTTTCTACATTATTCAGCAATAATTTGTGGCACCCATGTTTCTGGTAGATAGCTGGTTTTTGAAAATGAGTTGACATTCCATTCTTAACCCTCGCATTTGTAGGGGGGGTCGGATGGACCCCCCCCCCATGGTTTTTCGCGAATAACTCGCGTAAAAAGCGGCCGATCGCGACGAAACTTTCAGTACCCTCGCATTGATCAATTTTACACCTACCCTGAAAATTTCATGACCCTGACCCAAATGACCTTTGACCTGTGACCTCTTTTCCGAGACCATGTTTGGCCGGAATCGCGATTTCGCGTATGTCGGCTCGCACTAGCCGCGTGTTTGCAAGCTTTCCGTGGTTTCAAACGTTCAAACATGTGATTTGATGTTACTCCCGTGTGTGTCAAGGTCACCTGAAGGTCAGGTCAGGTCATTGACCTTTGGTGACCTCGGGTGACCTCGGGTCACTTTTTCGAGTTTTACATGTTTCTAGGCTAGTTTTTGGAGCTGAATTCGAATTTAGCAACCATTTGAACATTTACGAAGTAGTTTTGGTGACTTCGTAACATGTTACGAAGCTGTCAGAGGCGGTTGACACGTACTACGAATACCCGTCACGACGCCTACTGGTTGACCTGACCTGACCTGACCCGACCTGGTCTAAATGCTTCAAGACATCATCTGTGATCAAAACTAACACGATATTCGTGATCAGCACCCCGAAAAACCCCTTAGCAGCCACACTTTACGACTTTCTAACAGGTCCCGATTTTCCCGACTTTGGGTCATTGACCTGACCTGGAAGGTCAACCAATGACCTAGGACCTTAAAATTGGGTATCATCGGCTTCCTCTCGTCACGGGCAACACGCTCGTTTTTTCCGCGAAGCTCTAGCTCGATCAGGGGCCAAACGGCAAGGGGGGTCCAACCGACCCCCCCCCCCCCCTACACATTAGAAGCTGGCAAACGCCGCACACATGCGAGGGTTAAATTAATACAATACGATATACCCGCGCCCCGCTGGGGGTCCTGGACTTCATGCCCTGCTGGCGGTGTCTGCTGTCTGAGTTCTGACCCCCCCCCCCTTCTAACTCGGCTCCTGGGCCACGTAGCGATGCGGAGAAGGCGGTGTTGGAAAGAGCGCCAAAAATAATACATAAGTACTTCGGTCACTTTTTTGGTCAGGTCAAAGGTCAGGTTACCAGAGGCCACTGAAGGCCAAATTTCGCCTATTTTCAGGTTGAATGTCGACAATTTTAAAGACGTATAGCTTGGAAACTAGAGGGTGTCCGGAAACTATTTGCACCTTGTTTAATCAGCTATAATCCCGCCGTGCGCTTAAAGAGCTGTTGTAAATTTGCTGAGACCGTGCCTCAGGCTATCCACAGCTGTCCGTTAGTCACGTGACCTACCCCGGTCACCCGACCTTGACAATTGTGAGGCGCCAGGGGCCAGTGTTTGGCAGGCGTCACTCACACCTGAACGTGGTGTCTGGCGTCTGCTACGGTGAGAGAACACTCTTTGACAAAGCGTCACCGCGCTGAAGTTGTGGTGAAGGCTGGAATGAAGCAGGAAGTCGAATCGAATCTTCTGACCCAATCCCAATCGAAAACCTCTGGGCAATCAGAAGGACGAGCTCAGCAAGATGGGGCCAGCTGCCACAGAAAAC